GAGGGTGGCGTCCACGGTCAGTCTCTCTCAGAGCACCGCAAACACGCGCCCTCCCCCCACCCCTCATCTCACGTCATAAGGTCATAAGCGGCAGAAGGACAAGCACGCGGGAGGCTGGGCCGCAGGCAAGGGAGAGGAGCCGCCTGAGCCTCTCCTCCTGCCTTCCTGTCTCGGCCAGCAGCGCCAATGGTCGGTCCCACGCTGCTGCTGCTGGCTAGTTCCAGGAGAGAGGCCTGTCCACTTCCATGTCGTAGACAGCTTCGCGCTCCCGGCCTGGGGGCTCAGTTCTGTTTTTTATACTGCAAGACAGAGAGACCACTGGCAGATGGTGAGGGAAACGAAAGGGGAGGCAGGACCCAGGAGTGCGGAGAGCTGCGTCAGTGAGCCACAGGCGCCTCCAGAAGGGCTCGCTGGGGCTCAGGGGTGAGGCGACCCGGCCACAGGCTTGTAGCTGGCGCCTCGACGCCCTTTCTTCTCTGGTGGAAAGGAAAGCTGATGTGGCCAGGGGAAGGAGGGTAAGAAGGAAACTGGAGAAGGAGAATTGAACGCTGTGGCAAGTCTATCCTTTGCTTGGCTGAGTCTTCTTTTAAATATTTCTTTTTATCTATTTATGTATTCAAGCTATGCGTGTAGGCCAGAGGTGGGGTGGTGAGAGGATTCACCAGAGACAGAGTGGGGCGCAGAACAGGAGGACTGACTGAAATGCACTGCTGAGGGGAGCAGCGGGCAGGTCAGGAGAGGTCTGCTGGGCCACGTGGGTCTCCTCCCTGGCCAGGGATTGAACTCCAGCACAGTGACGGGCAATAGCTTGATAGTGCTGAGACTTTAACCCCTGCACTACCAGGGAGACCAACAAGAAAAACATCTCAGGTAGAAGAGGAGTCTTAGAACCCACCTCATCCAATCACTGAGTTTAACAAGTAAAAGAGCCCGCCCTGGAGACCCTGGCTTAGAAGCAGGGCGGGGGGCTGCACCCTCCTCTTGGAACTAATCTAGGTGGTTCTAATGCCTGTAAGTAAGAAACAGCTGGCCAGTCACTTCGCTTCCTGCCTTCCTCCCTTCACCCAGCAAACCTGATGGTTTTCTCCACATCCCAGCCTCGGGCTGACCACCTGCCAAGATAGGGAGCTCACTATCACCAAGCCAGCCTTCTGCTCAGGCTGTGGGAGCTTTGACACTAACTTCCAGGAAGGAAGTTCTCTTCTTTCTGCCCACCCATCAGCTTATTCAGCACTTAGACAAACTGGACTTTAGGGATTGAGGACTCCCCCCACTCCTCACAGCAAACAAATGCAACCAGAAGGGCATGGGTGACCACCAGCAATGCTGACCAGCAGCTGAAGTAGCTGGCCTGGATGGGCCAGAGGCTGACACAGCTCGGCAACGTGGGGCAGGAGTGACCTCTGGTGGTCACTGAGAGTATAGCCATCAGGGACACTCCCCGCCCACCCCACCCCATGCTGGTAGAGAAAGAAGCCAAGCACTCACTTTGTTCATGATCCAGTCTGCGTCTTCGATGGCTCTTTTAATAATCTGCTGGATTCTCTCAGGGTTGTCTTCATCTGCATGAACCCGGAAACTCTGGAAATTTAAGCATAAAAAAGGTGACCAGGCAATATGATGAGCCAGGCCAACTGAGCATTTCATGCTCAGCATGCTCTCGCTACCAGACAGTTACAGCAGTCCCACTCCACAGGCGAAAGGGTTTCAGAGCCCCCGGCTTGCCGGTCACTCAGCACATCAGTCTATGAATCTTGGTCTGACTGTATAGCCCACACTCCTGCCAGAGGGGCAGGTGTAGTTGTGAAAAGGAAGACTGACCCCCATGTTACTTCTGATTCAAGTTGGGCCTAAAGGTTACCAGGCGGCAGGAGCTTAAAGGAAACATCCATCTCTTTTTCATTTGTTCCTGCCAGGACCCTGCTTTTACCAGAGAGAGAGAGATCTCTGCGTGCTCTCACAATTGGGAGGAACAGGGCTTCTTCTGGCTCCTGCTGGAAAGCTAAGTAGGGAAGGGGGGGGGCCATGGAGGAGGTGCCTACAGATAAGCCAGCCAGGCCTCACACAGAGCAATGCAGGGCTGCTGCCTGCTTTGATCAGGCCAGGTGTTCACCCTTGAGAAGTAACTAATACCTGAGATGCAGGATCAGTGGTATTGTTACAGGGCACCCCAGTGTGAACTGGGCCACCTGTCTTGGGGTCCCACCCATGCACTTGAAATTCAGTTGTACTGCAGGCACACACAAAAGGGCCAATAACGGGTTTACTTACAAAAGGGGAAAAGAAAAGGAAACAACAACTGGAATATCTTACTGGCGGGGCTGACTGGGAGCTCTGGTAACAAACTAACTGAAAGTCTGAGAGCCATTTCCAGAGCAAGAGTGCAAGAGACACAATGGCTCCCTAGTTATACCCCAAATGTCCCAGAATTCCTGCTAGCTCCGCCCTTGGGTCCTCGCAGTTCTCTCCCTGGTACTGCTGGGAGTTGTAGTTTCCAATCACTGGAGTAGGGGCAGAGTCCAGAAAGCTAGAGTAGGGGATGGAGTCCACAAGACTCTGCAGAGTTCCTTTAGGACAGCCTTCCCCTTAACAGGATGGCCCTGAGGGTCCTTCAGGGGAACTGGCGCCTCCTCTCCCCTGTTACGCTTGACCCCACACATCTACCAAGTGCTTCCGATGCTCACCTCAGGGGTCCTCCCTGACACCTCCTGACAGCTAAATGCTTCCTACTCCATGTTTTCACAACCCTCTCTAACTCTTTTTTTTTTTTAACTTTTCACATTTTATATGTATTAATTTTAGTTTTTCACCTTTTATTTGGAAAGAATCTTCAACCTCCAGAAAAGCTTCGGGAATACTAAGAAATGGTTAGCATCTTGCCACACTTGCTTTACTGTTCTCTTTCTATGTGTTTGTGTAAAAGATGTTGGGAGCATTTTAAAGTTTCAGGCATGGTGCTCTGACCCCCCAGCACTTCCGCGTGTGTTTCCTTTCAGAAAGGGCTTCCTTTTACATAGCTACAGCAACCAAACTCACAAAATGGAACGTCGATCCAACACTATTAGCTGGTCCACAGCCCTCAATCTGCATTTCCCAGCAGTGTCCCGTGTAACTCGGCTTTTTCCTGGTCCAGGATCCGATCCGGGATCACTCGTTACATGCTCACCTCCCTGTGCACCACAGCAGCTCCCCTGCCCTTCTCCATGTTTCATGACATTAACACGTTTGATGATTCTGGGCCGGTCATGTGGCAGACAGCTCCTCGATTCGGCTCTGCTTGGTGTTTCCTCATGACGAAATGCAGGCTGCATGTGGGCCGGGCTGCCTGACCAAATGTGTCCTGTGCATTCTCCCTCAACTTCAGCCGAGCCCCGGCACAGGGTGGAGGTGTGGAGCGATGCCATCTCTGCTCCTGAACCAGCAGCAGACAGACGCTGGCTGTCCAGCATTGGCTTCTGGTGGCTCTGACCACACTGAAACCCCTCCCTGCCCCTGCCCCCAGCCCTGTGACACGGCCCCTCTTAGCGGACGCGCCAGCCCACCCAGGCCCCAGCGCGCTGTGTTCCCACCTGCCTGACAGCATGTCTGTAGTGCTCCTGGATGCCCCTGGTGGGCAGCTGCCGGCAGCAGCGCAGCAGGTAGCGGTAGAGCTGCAGCGGCCTCTGGACCAGCTCTGCCCCTGGCAGCGGGGCCATCTGCAGACCCGGTGCCTGGAAAACATAGAATAGCTCTTCTGTGGCATCGAGCGAGTGCCTGGCCCCAGCCCCCACATCCAGGACATGGTGAAGCAGGCTGATGCAGCCCTGAGGGGAGGGCCCGCACCTGACCCTGAGCTGTGTGGGCATTCAGTCGAGCAGTCTCAGGTGGGAGCGGGCCTGCAAGGACCAAGGGGGAAATGAGCAGCCTCATCCGGCATCTTCTTTCTGGAGACCAACTTCAGTCTGCGGGTGAGGGGGTGTCTCTGACAGGGCAGGTGAGCGGGAAGCTGCTGCCTTGCAGTCATGGAGAAAGCAGCGGCTTCAGACAACTGGGGCAGGAGAGGGCTGGGCAGCAATTCTGGGGATGCCCAGAGGTCTGGGCCTCCCTACCTAAAGTGTGGTCTGAACCAGCAGCAGCGGCTTCACTCACAAGCTCATCAGAAATGCAGTCGCTCCCAGCAGATCTACAGCACAGAACCTGCACTTTCACGGATGCCCCCGAGGCTCCAGCCTGGACCGCTACCATAGCATCCCTCCCGGTTCCCCTGCCTCCAGCCTGTCACTCCCTGTCTCCTCCACTTTTGTGTTCAAATGAGCCTTGGAACCAGCATCCTGGGCTCATTCCATGATGATCCACAAGGAAGTTCTCCCAGACCGTCCAAGCCAGCAAGTGCCTTCTGTCCAAGCCACTGCTTGGCATGGAGCTCCCTTCCTCGTGTCCTGCATGGAGGCACCTTGCATTCCCCCTTCCAAGTCCAGCTCAGTGTCCTTCTGCAAAGCCCTTCCTGACTGTCCTTCACCAGGGAGCGACAATGCCCTGTTCATGGAGCTACCACAGTGCTTCCCACACTGCCAGGGATTCATCTGCCGCCAGGCCTGTGGAGCCTGGCCCAGGCCGCAGTGCTTCGTGCCCTGTTTACTGAACGGGCCTGAATGGAACCTGTTATCTCCTCTGTGCAGATTTCTCCTGTATGAGAGAGAAACTCACTATGTTCCAAAAGAAGGAGCTAAAAGACCATGATTAAGTGACTGGCCTTAGTTTTAAAATAACATAAAACAAGAAAGACAACTCCCTCCCCCTCAAAAAGAAAAGAGAACCAGCATACAAAATCTATCAACTAAGAAAGGAAACTTATAAACTGCTGGTTTCAGAGGCCCCTTCATTCCATTTCCAACATGTTATCTTCCTGGCAAAAATAAATGTCTATCTCCACAGCTAAATTTGCCAGTGCTCCCGGTACTCTGAGCTCCCACTCTGACACCACAGTGGGTACCATCCATCCTCCCTCAGCTAACAGCCAGCTAAGGCTGCAGGGCTGAATGGGATCGTGCTCAGGGATCTCAGCCCACAGGGCCTGGGCAGGGCTCCACTCCAGGCCCAGCCAGTCAGGGCTCTTCATCCAAGCAGTGGCAGGGATTGGTTCACAGGTGGACACGCGGAGGAAGCTGGTCCAGTCACAGTGACTCTCAGCACCTATGCTGAGTGACCAGACAGGACTCAGCTTTTTCCCCTCTAGACTTGACCCAGTTGGGACGACGCCACTGTGCCTCCTCTGAAGCCACACAGCAGACAGCAGAGCTGAGGCCCTGAGCAAAACACGTCTGAAGAATTCATTTGAACCCTGAAACTATACACCCGAAGGCCGTCCCGTCCTTACACTGCCAGTGATCTGAGCCAAGGAATCCCCTTCGCCAAAGCAGTTTGGATGTGCTCTTCTGTCACCACAGCCAAAAGAATCCTAACTGATAGACAGACAGGCTCACCTCTCTGATTCTTCTAGGAGCTCTGACGAGCTCGATGGAAGAATGCAACCAGGGAGGCGCTTCTCAAGGTCCTTCTGTAATAAATACCAGCCTGCGACTCCAACTAGCCACACTTTGGCCGAACAAGCAGTGGGGAGTCCCATAGAGACAAAGACCTCCAAGGGTTGCCACAGAGGACCTAGCACCCAACCTGATGGGCGGACTCCACTGGCAGGTTTCCCCAAACTATATAAAGTGCTAATCAAATATTGTAAAATCCTAGTCATGTAACAGATGGTTACCATCTGCAGTCTTCAAAATTAACACTTGGAAAGAGCACAACTTTGTTTCATTACTTAAAAACCCAAGCAATACTTAGAAACCAACCCAGCAAGTATGGGCGGGAGATTATTTTCAGCTCAATTATAATACTTAGTCATTCTCAGTAATAACTGGCAGGGAATGCATGTGTGGGTCCACTCAAATGAGCTAACCTAAAAATGTTTTAATTTAATTTAAAGTGTGGGCTTGCTATTATTTAGGGGACAGTGAACCTCACAGCATCATACTAAGGCCTGGTCAGACCCTAGGGCCCTGGGAGTGCTGGTCCTGCACATGCTCCACCTTGGACTTGACCTTAGCCTCCCCACCTGGTCTTCCTGCCCCACTTAAAGGCAACTCCATCTTCCCAGGCAACGAAGCCAAAACCATCACAAAGTCAGCCTGTCTCCTCCTCTCCCTTAATCCCTGTGCCACCTGTCTCTACATCCTATCAAATTCTACCCTAAATACCTCAACTCTGCCCCTCTCTATTTCCACTTCACCTCCTCAGCTGACACTCCTATCAAAGGTCATGTGAGCCACTGTAAGAGTCCCCAGCAGGTCTCCCTGCCTTCCTAGCTAACCTCCACTCAGCAGCCAGGGTGAGTCTTCCTAAAACAAACCTCAGCCTGCCGTGACCTGCCTACTGCCTCTCATATCCACCCCTACTCCCTATATCACTCACGTGACACAAATTCCTGAAATTATTTTCACCTTCATCTAAACCAACATCGTTTCTCTGTAATGGCTTTTTATTATTTTTGTGTGTAATGGGGGGGGGGGAATCCTAAAATTTCATATGTGCTATGGCTTAAGACTATTTCAAAAATATATAGGCAGACACTTGATTTTTAAAACAATATCAACAATAAAACAATATCAAGAAAACAATATAAATGAAATGTGGATATGACAAAATCATACAAGTAGTAGTAAAGTTTGGAAAGCACTGACCTACAGAATAAAATCCATACTCCTTTCCCTGGGCTTCAAGCCCCTTGTGATCTGGTCCCTGCCCACCCTTGTGGGCATCACCACCGCTGCAGATTCCAGGCAGACTGAGCCCTGAGTGGCAGCCTCCAGGCATTCACCTGTCATGGTCTCAGCACTGTGAGAGAATACCTAACGTAGAATATGAGGGTATTGCACAGAGACAGAAACAATAGGAGATATATATGCATATAAAGAGATCTGTCATAAGGCATTGGCTCATGTGGTTTTGGATGCTGGCAAGTCCCATTTCTCCAGAGCCAGTGTCCCAGATCGAGTCTGAAGGCTGGAAACTGCTGTAGAGCCAAGAAAAGTCAATGTCCCAGTTAAAAGGCCATTTAGCAAGAGAATTCTTATGCCAGGGAAAGTTGGTTTATTGTTCTATTCAGGTCTTCGAAAGAGTGGATGAGTTCTACCCACACTAGGGAACTTGGTCTTGGTTTAAATGCTTATCTCATCCAAAACATCCCACAGACAGATCCAGAATAATGTTTGACCAAATATCTAGACACCCCATAGTCCAGTCAAATTGACCCATAAACGTATCCATCACAGTAGATATTTATTATCCACGTGTTGAAAGAACCCTTCTACTCCTACTTACAATACCCCATCTGCTTCCTGCAGATCTGAGCTTTCAGTGCTTCTCTGAGGTCTGGCACCTCCTCCTGGAAGCCCTATGACCTAGCACCCTGTCCCCATATTCCATGGGAAGACTGTTGACACTTCAAATAGCTCTCCTATCCTTATTTTTAGGCTTCATCATCTCTTACCTGGATTACAGGAATGATATCTACCAGCCCTTCCAATCATCTTCCACACAGTCACAAATGCCTAGTTAACTCCCAACTTAAAAGATTCCCACAGGCTAGACATTACATGACAATGTCAATAATGATTAGTAATCATGCTTTTCCTTAGACATCGTAACAATATTATGGCAAAATAGGAGAATGTCCTTATTCTTAGGTGGTGCAACTGACTTTCAAATGATTCTGGAAAAAAACACGCAGAAGGAAGAAAGATAAGAGTGAAAATGATAAAGCAAATATGGCAAAATGTTATGGTTGTGTTTAGATGGCAAGTGTAAGTGTGGATATTGTGCTGTTATTTCAATTTCTCTGTATTTTGAAAGTTCTCAAAACAAAAAGTTATTTTGGAAAAATCCTCCACAGCTTTCCCATTTCTAGTGCACAAAGTCTTAAAGACTCCCAGCTGACAATACCTACAAACCTTCTTATAAGCCCAGCTTCTTCCCTCAACCCTCCTCCACCCGCTAAGCCCGCTGACACACCACCTATTGTTCCTTTAATGACAATCACCACCATTACTTACAATTATTACTGTTGCCCTCCAGAATATATATCATGTGATAGGTATTATCCTAAATAATACGTGTGAGTCAACTAATTTTAACTCTCATAATAATAATGACTCTGAGCAAATACCCTTTACTCGCCTTTTACAGATAAAGAAACAGGCCAAAAAGACCAGAATTGTGTCCAAGGTCACAGAGCTAGGAGCACAGACGCCATGATCTCCAGCCCAGGAAGTTTGGCTCTGGAGCCCTGGGTGAGTGTTGCCTGGAGTACTAGCCACTCTCCAAGTGAACTTTGATTCGTCCTCGAGTGAACATCTGTGGCTCTTCCTAACACCCCTCACCACCCCCCCTTTCTTTTCAAGGACTGACTTCTCCCTGTCGGCTTTGGTCTGCTGAGACTACCATCAGTGGCTCTGTCTCTCTCAGCCACAAGAAAAGCAAGGAGGGCCAATTGAACATTCCCCTTCCTCTAGAAAAGGGTCCATGAACAAAGTAACAAAGCCTGAGATGAGGCCATGGCCCCAGCAGTCCTGTGTCCTGAGCAGCCTCGTCCTGATAAGATTTGTCGCTATAGATCCTTCTGCCTGAACTTCTAGAAATAACTGGACTCCTGCCCAGTTCTCCAGTCTTCTTGATTCTGTGAGCTCCTAACATTCTTTCAATAAGTTGTTTTATTTACTCCCTCTTAACCTTCACACAGAACTAGCCCCTCTCTCCCGTTGTTCTTTGTCCACAGGTGTCATACCTGTTTCAATCAGCAGGCATCACCCTGTGCTCTGAGTGTTTTTCTCTCCATGATC